AGGAGGTTATTGAATGTCAGAGTAAGATTAAGACAAACATTTTGAATGTTTAAATACTTAGCAGCACAGAATCAGAAAAATGCAGAATAGAATTGGAGGCATTTATTTAATGGAAATGCACATGACTTTTGGATAGTGGTGCAAATTCCAGAGGTAGGTGTTTTGGTAGCAAACTGTTTCTTCACACTGAGGGTAGGGATGAAGCAGAGGTGACCCTTGACGTTGCTGTGAGGTTCCTAGTCCATTTTCCTGCTTGTAATGCTAACTCTGATCTTCTAGATTCATGAATCCGCTCTACGAGCAAAGAACAGGAGACAAGTGGAGAAAAGGAAGCTTTCACAGAGGCGAGTACGATCAGCAGAGGCAGAGAAAGCTTGGCGGATAAAGCCTTCCCCACCAGATAACCCCTGGATGACAGAGTATATGAGATGCTACTCGGCCAGAGCTCGGTGAATTTGGATTCAACTTGGGCATCTTCACAAGAAGTTATGCATATCAGGACACTGGTGCAAGGAACCAAACCATTTATGCAAGGTTTTTATAGAGAGTTTCCAGCTGTTAAAATATTTGTTAAAGTATTTTTATCTTGGCTACCTACCTCACAGTGGGGTGTCTAGTTGGAGCCATAACATTTGAAGAGGCTTTTAAATATAGCTACCCAAATTTTTAAACAATTCCCCTTTTGGGAATCTTTCTAATGAGTTTCAATTGACTTGTTTTGAGGGGGGAGGGGGGCTTTGCATACTGGCAATCAAAACAAACTCTTATTTTATTGATATTGGTTATGAATAATCTGCCCCTTACTTTAAAAGATCTAAAGTCCTCCAAACCACAAGGAGGTGGTGCTGGGGAGAGGGAATGGGAGGAGGAAAGGGAAGGGGAACTTGAAAGGTGTGATGGAGGTGCCTTTGCATTTATTTTATTAAGTCAATACTTGTACCAAAATAAATATATTAAAATGGGCAACAGAAAGGCAAGTGGGTGTGGTAAGCAGCACTATTGGGTGTGGATGCTTCAGACAGACAAATGCCAAGTATTGTCTGCATACAGAAGCTTCAAAAAAAATTAGTAAATCTGCTGATTCTTAATTTTCATTGCTGCTTTCAAGCTTATCTGTAATAAAATACTAACTTTCAGAGCAAGAAACAGCTGCAGAATTATTGTGCTGTTGCTGTACCTGTTGCACTGAATAACTGATAAAGACAATCATCATCTGACAGCTGCTCAAAAAGCAGCTGCTTGTTCTATGAGTATCAACTTGGCACCACTGTACTGAGCTTGTGGTCACACTTATTCTGTGCTTAATCATGTAAATGCTGGTTTATCAGAGCAGGCTGGCTTCTGTTTAGTGAAGTCTATTTTTTATTACTTATGAATATTTATCTATGCTCAGTGGGGTATGTATTCCATTTGGTGGTACTGTATGAGTGTGCTAAATTAGAGGCTTTTAACTTGAACCATTTTTGATAAAATTTAGATGAAGTAGAGGAGTCTTAGCCTTCTGCCTCAAGGTTGGCGCATAACTCCTCAATAAGGGGTGGTGAGAGCTGGGGAGGAAGGAGATGGTATCCTTCAGTAGAGTACATAATGGAGTTTGGATGCTTTCACTTTGTAGGTTTTTCTTTTACATACACTGTCTGTCAAACCCACAGTGATTTTTTTTAAAATTCAATCTGCTATGAATGATTTGTCTGAAAATTGAGCTTTAGGCAGGTGACTATGGTTATGAACTTCAAGTTTAGTTCAGATGTGCTGTGTTTGTTATATATGTTGTTTACCTTACTTTAACTGTTTCAAAGCTTGCTTTTTACAGATGAGACCCTTTCTCACAGGAAGCGCACTTAACACTGCTGCAGCAGAAGCCTGTGCTTCGCTACCCAATCTCATTGAGTCAGCAGGACTAGAACCCCTGCTGCAACAGGGACAGTTAAAATGCTTAGTGAAGTCTGATTGTTGATCTTCAAGTAATTGTGGGAAGACAAAGTATTGTTGCCTTCTAATCTTCTATCAGTAAGATGGAAATTAAGATTAAATAAACCTTTAATAAGAAGTTTTAGAGTCTGTGAAATTATAACCTGATTTTTCAAGCGTATAACTTACTTTAAAAATCCAAACAGCTCATGTTCAGGATGCCTACCAGAGATCTTGCACTTTTAAATCTCGGAAAGTATGGTTGTCTGATCCATGAAGAATGACTATTCCAACTTCTCAGCAAAGCACAGTTTAGAACTTCCTAAAATTTCACAACAGCATTCCAAACCGAGGTGAAATTATCCAACAGGATGTTTTTATTCCACATGAGATTTTTATTTCTTTGTATACCATTTTTCCTATTTAAAACATACTTACAGCAGCTATTTAAGCTGCTTTGATGCTGTTTCAGTTCAGAAATCCACTCTAGTTTTGAACAACAGTATCAAAGCACTCAGTAGTACCTAACAGCCTTGTTGTTGTGTGGAACACCACATACATACACACCTTTGTCTTTGTGGACTTCATGTAACTGGCAGATGAACTATGTGCCCTCTGCATTTTGTTGCATTAAGCAGGTTCCTTGGTGGGACTCGTCTTGCCATACTTTCCATGCCAGTTTCTAGAGTTCCCACTGAGAATGGGGTGAGCCAAGAATCCTGCCTTAAGTACTCATTCTTGGATAAGCTGCATTTCCTATTAGATTTCAGTTGCAAGGTTTTAACAGTTTTCTGCCTTGGATACTGGGTACCAAGCCTGAGAAGTCTCCAACTTGGTCACGATCTGCAGAACATTAGAAGTATGTTCAACACCATCTGGACAGCTATGTACTGAGGAAATACTCGTTTTTATCCTTGTCTAGATAAGAGCTGTTCCCCAGAAAAGAAAAAAAAAAATTGTTAGACAGTAGTGGCAGTAATTGGGTTATGTGAGTCACGCTTTTTCAAATGGTCTATAGCTGAAAATAATCTTGATTGCTATGTTGCTACTATCTTAATTAAGAAACGTAATGCCTGAAGTGAGGGGCAAATTATTCTGCTGAGTAGGTAGCTTTCTTACATTTGGTATTTGCCTTTTTTGAAAGAAAAGGACTAGAAGGCTTGCTTAGACTGTGTGAAACAGTACAGTCCTGATTACTCCAAGTTGTGTATGCAGAGTATTTGATATGCCAGGCCAAAGTCTGGAAAGCCACTTTTGTGTTTTGACATGACATTTGATGGAAAGTCTTTTTTTAAAACACAGAAGCTGTAGCTGCATTTCATAGATTGATAGAATAGCCTGTTTTGCATTAAATTTAACTTGCTCAAAAGTGGAAAACTTAGTGAATGTTTACAATATCAATTAAAGTCCTGACTTGTCTTGCAACAGACTGTTGAATTCAGTCAAGTGATGAAAACTTGTCACACCTGTTGTACAAATAAAACTTTGTAAGAACATGGTTAATACACAGTTGTCCAGTCTTCATGAAAGTTTACTCCTTTCAGTTTCTGAAAGCACTTAGCTAAATGAAATGAGACCTGCACAATATGTAATGCTGCAATTTAACTGTAGTGCTGTATAGATTAGTGTTTACAATGTGAAATGTTGCAATGAAAACTGCATATGAGTGTCCCTGTGAAGTACGGTAGCATGCTTGTTCAGTCAACGCTGTCACACTCTTTGCAGCTATGAACTCCAGATTTCTTTACTGGAAGTCTGAAATAGTCAGGGTGATATTTAATTTAGAGCCAAACTTAACTGTCAGGAACAGACCTGAATTTCTGGTGAAGAATTCTATCAAAGATTAATGCATATTAATCAAGTTTCACTATGTGGGGGAACATATCTGCCCTTCTAACTTTTTAACATGCAACTGAATTACAAAGGTCTCTGACTCTCTCTTTTTTTTAACCATGAGGACCAAAAGCTAGCAATCTGAGGAGTTGTCCAGTAAACCTGCATGTGCCAACTTACCTTCCAGCTCACTTTCTGCACTCAGCAGCAAAGCCATATGTAGAGCCTGACTTGACACCTTGACAATAGCACCTATAAAATTAGGGGTAGAAGAGAATGGGAAGCTGCCTCAGCTCCTGTTAGCACTGGATTCACTTTAAAAAAAATATAGGGGAAACAGCATCTAAGCTTGAAGTAATATGTGGTGTTTTTTTTTAAGGTTTTTAATAGTACTTGTTTTTAATGCTTCTGTATTGTCTATATTTAATAGTGTGGTGTCAATTTGTATATGTGAATAAAATGAGTGACCATCTCTTGGCTGCTTATACTGTTATTTTTTGGCTCTCAGCCGTTAAAGGGTTCTTACAGACTGTGCACAAACTATGGTTTCTGGTTCTATGCCCTCCCTCTGAGAAAAGTAACTAATGCAACTCTTTACCCAACACCATTCTTTACAAGTATGTCAGTCTGAGAGCTGAATTTGTATTCTGCCTGTAGTGCTCTCTCAAATTCTTAATACCTTTTCCTTACAGAGAGGTCAGCTGTGCTCTCAACCTGAGTTGCCTGTTAGTCTGGAAAAGTTCTAAGAGCAAATACAGGATTCAAGGTGTATAAACATCTTCTCATAGCTTTTAAAAAAGCATTTCTCACTTCTGAAATAAGGCATTCCAGGAGCTCTAGGGACATCACTGCTGAAGTGACCTGAAGCAAGAAGACAGACAAGCGAAGTACAAGGCAAGTGGATGTAGCTTCATAGCCCTGACCTCCTTCAGGATGTGCTACTGAAAACACACCTTGCAGTTGCTTCCTCTCTAACCCAGGGGGGAAGCAGCAGGGTGCCAGGGCAGGGGCCTGCCTGTGCAGTGGGAGGCCTGGGGGAATCTACTGCCAGCAGGGACAGTGACTTCCTCGCTCTGTTGCTGTGAAATACACTCCAGCAGTACTCCAGTCTCATACCTGCTGGTACTTTCCCAAACACCAACTCCACTATAAATTCAGCCGAAATATTCTTTTCCTGACTATCTAACAGTTTGTCTTGGGGACTTCATTCATGTAACTGTAGTACAAATAAATAGAATATGCTGTAGCACCCCTAGAAAAATTAAGAAAGACTCTTTATTTCTTGTTAGATATAAGCATGAAATGGAATATAAGCCAGTAGCCTCACTGAAAGGCAAAACAGATTTTAATAAGACATTTAGATCTTCTAAGGGACTGGAAGAGTTGAAACTCTGTATTCAGTAAATCCTAGGATATGGCTGCCTGGAATTAGTTCACATAAAATTAAGCCATTTTGCTTTGGTAAATTAATTTTACACTAGAAGTCATATGCAGTTGAACATATTTTTCACTTAATATTTTCATGAGCTAGGTTTATTAAAGCTTGAAATTGATTCCACAGCTGTTATGGGCATAATGTTTATTTTTAGAAATAAATTCTCAGAGGAGAACTAGTAAACACTGTTGCTTACAGTATTGCTTCCCAAGTATTGCCCTCTGGAATTGCCATTTTAGAAGGTTTCTTTTCAAAATGTCAATGAGATGCAGCACGGGGGTACAAGACTACAAAACATTAACCTGGTTAAGTTGCACTAAGGTAGCAGGAACATATATTTAAAGAAATAGTAGAAACATGTCAACTGATTATAATGCAAGTATTTTTTCCTTCGTCCTGGGAAGGAGACAGCGTAAGACAAGTTGTTACCAAACAATGAAACTGCTTCCTGCTGCTTAACCATATGAACCAGTATAAAACAGAGAGCCAATTTGTACATAAAGGAAAAAGGAATAGAAAATGCATTTTTTTAAAAGTCAGGAAAAACCAACCACACTTCAAAGTCCCTGTTTCTTTCATTAGGGGACTATTCAGAAGCAACAGAACTAAATAACCACTCCCCTTATTCTTCAAACTGCTAGCATAATAATAAAAGTAAGTTTTAATCAAGTGCCAACTCCCCCCTTCAACCACTTCAAGTGACAGGGGGAGACCTCTAGCTCTGTGCTATGTCAGAACTGGTAAGTGCTCAGCCTTCACTTTATCAGTGTACCAAGAAATCTGATTAGATGAAGGGGAAATGGATTCCTCTATTATTTTTTCCAGCATTTCAGTAATGGTTTGGTGTTTCAGAACTGACATATTCCCCTTCACTCTGCATTTTTGCAAGAGTTCAGGAGGATGGCAAAACATCACAGTTGAACAACAGGCCATTTGGACTGGTAGAGACTGCATCTAACTGCATCTAACCTCTACTTCAAGGGACTGCTTTTGGTACCTCCGTCTGGTTTTGGAGTAGTGGAAGCCAAATTAAGTTATTATGGCTGACAGGTAAGGTCTATTCAGAGTTCTTTTATGTCCCTGTAAATGCAGAATTAAGACGCCTAAAAAAAAAACCAAAACAACAAAACACTGAATTTTATCAAGAAGAGAATATGCCTTGGGAAGAATTATTATTAGTTATTTAGGATTTAGATTTGTTGCATAACATCGGACACAGCAGAAAGCTCTAACAAGGCTTTGGACTCTACAGTCTTTTAAAAACTTACTGTGTACTGGAAAAGTCTAGGGTTAATTATTTCATATTTTTATTTCAGAGATGGCCAAGGTATATCATTTTAAGACAAACATCCATTTGAAACAAAAATGTCAGGACAATTATTTTTTTCCACACAATTCTAGTTCTATGAAAGATGGAATACCGTCTTCTCTGTATCATCCTTGGTTTGCTTGTGTGCTTTAACTGCCCTCTGAGTCACAGCAGCAGTTCAGTTTTCTGATTTAGTTTTTAAATATGTACCTGACAAGCGTCCCTTAAAAATACTCATATATAGAAAATAAAGCATGTTTTTCCTTGGAATTTTCATACTGTTTTCTGATGAGATAAACTATTTTCTGTGTTTGCTTGCATTCGCTTGCATTTCCAAAAAGACTTCCAATTTCTAATTACATAAGGAACTAAGTAAAATCCTCACTAGCAATTTATATCCATACAACTGAACTATCATTTCCCTTGTAACAACAGTTTGAGTTCAGATAGCTCCAGAAACACTTTCCACAGCTCCTTATCTGACAACATGAAAGCCGTATCTCTTACCTGATCATACATACTACTCATGGTTCTGTCCTCACGCTTAAGCCCTCTGCCAGTCTATTCTGTCTCCAGCTGAGCAATGACAACAGAACTCCTAGTCCTCACCCCGTATCTCCTTCTTGCCATATAAGAAGGCAGAAGGGAAGTATGAATTGCTTGAATGAGAAATGAAGTCAGCACTAAGGCCGATGTTTCCCCTGATGAGTTTCACAGGAAGAATGAACTACATCACCAGCATCTTTTTCTTTCTTCCCTCATATGAGTTTCCTGGAAGCAATGTTGACAGCGTTACGTACCATATTTTCCCCAGAAGTTCAAAAGGTTGGACTCCAGCAAGACAGAGTCTTCAGTTCCTGATTTTGAAGCCTAACTTTACCATCCAAGTTCCTAATTGTATTTTATAAACGTTTAAGATACCAGTATTCTAAGTCATACATTCGGGATACTTTAGAAGAACCAACCTGGATTCAGTTTGTACCTCACAAGGCATATTTCAGCAGAAATCAATTTTTCTACAGGCAATTGCTTAGTTAGCAATCAGAGGTTAATAGAACTCCTACTGTGACAGGTTTCTGGAAGCCCATGCCCAACACCAGATGTACAAAACACACAGAAGATGCTCAATTCTGTTCACATATACATACTATCTTCATGACACCAGTGCTATACAAAACGTCAGAACCAAGAAAAAAAAATTTCAAAATCCACATCAATTAACAGCCATTTGAGAGACTTATGTTCTCAACATAACTATGTTTTCCTGAACTTTTACAGTTTGATAAAAGTGCTTCAAAAGATGATATATAAGAATTTTGTTAAAACAGGTGAACTTCAATAAAAATGACTTTTCCAACTTGATGCACTGCCCAAACCAAGCAACCAAAACTAACCCCATATTGAGAACCAGTCATAGAAACACCTTGTCAGAACGTGGCAAAAGAAATGGGGGGAAGTGTGGGGGAGAAAAACAGCCATCCCTCACTGACACTGCCAGTGGTTTTATAATTCATGGCATAAATATAAACTATTATGCAACAAACATGACAAAGTCTACTTCAGTTAACTTTTAGTTTCTACAATAAAAAAATAAAATATTAAACTGTTGTAGTGCAATGTTCTATCATCATATATATATATATATATATATCATGCTTTGTAAATTTACTGTTACATTATTTACAGTATATAGTAATGCTTTCAACTAAAGGTGAAATAAAAATAGGTAATGGAAAACGTTTACATACAGGTATCACTTTAACACTTCCCACTGAGTTAGCAGGTTCCCTTTGCAGGCTTGTGCCACATGAACATTCCTGCTCCACACCACATGATGCACCTCTCTGTCAGCAGTGGTCTGCTCTGGCTGTACACAGCAGAAAGATGGTTTTCAAAACTGCACAGCTTTCAAGCTTTATTTCTTCAAACACCATTTGTATGGACAGCTGAAAAATACACAAGAACTCCATTGTTTATTTACATCTGATCAATCTTGGAAACTCAACTGCTGAAATAAAGATCAGTAGACAGCTGTAGAGCCATATATAATTGGACTAAATGAATGCCCTTTCATAGCAGTTTTTCAGTTGAAGAAAGCTACTGCATGAGGAGAAAAAAAGGCAGGAAAGCAGTTCAAGGATTCTTATGCATTATTTAAAATTCTGAGATTTAATTGGGAGCTAAGCTCTTGGAACAGAGAACAAAATATGAGAACATATAATTTAACGCTGCTTTATTTAACATTCTGCAAAGCTGCTGCTGGCAGTTTGAATAATGCTGGTGGACACTGTCCAAACTGATAAAAATGAAACAGGCAAAAAATATGTAGTAACTATACTTCCAGTAATAGTTTCATTTGATATTACAGCCCTCAAGTTAGGAAAGTAAGACTGAAAATGTTAGAATAACTTAATTACACAGCAATTTCTTAATTACCTTCTTTAGTGACTGAGGGGGGCAGGGCTGCCCTAACAGCCCTTAATAATATCCCTGAATACTGAAACATATCTAAGAACAACTCTTTATAAGAAAGGCTAACCATCAAGCTCTTCTTGGGATCAGGCTTTACAACTTTCAGCCCTCTTCTTCTATTATGCTGAAGTGAGGAATAGATTATTCCTTTCCTCTGTTCAGCATCTCTAGGGCACTACACCTACTCCACAGGCTGCAGTAGCCCAAGAAGAGATGCTGTAGATAACAACACTGCCTAAGCAGCAAATATTGCTGTTCCCCAGTTGGTATTTCCACTTGAGGTAGACAGGAATCAGAATCACTCTGGGCCAGTTTTAGGCCCAGATGTCAGCGGAATTCTGAAATCCAGTATTATCTTTCATTTTCCAGTCTCAATATTTAGTGAGATTGCATTTAAAAAAAAAATGCTATATAAGAGTTTTGGATAAGATAGTGCCCCATACATTTTATATATTCTTGTTTCTAATAACATTTGTTCAATATACTATGGAAATTATCAATTTTTTCCTACAGTGCATTAGATAACTATTTGAACTTTAATGCATTTCAGAGATACTGAATTCCAAAGTGTTATCCACAGTATTACTCAGTAAAAATTCATCAATATTTCAGAAGGAGCACTGCTTGTGCGTTGGTGGACAGACAATAGAAGTACAGAAACAAACAACAAAGAAATTAATTCTACTGTGCATTATTTCACTAGATTCCACAGTGCTTTGCAGGCTGTGAAAAAGCCAAGCACTTGATAGGGCATATTTCTCAAATATGGTAACTTATGAAACGCTCCAAGATTTCTGTAATCTTACCTTCTGTATCTAAAGTGAGTATTTTGGATTTTGTGTTTTGCTTCTTTAACACCCACATTCCTGAGCACTTTGTGCTTGTGCTCTTCGTGGTGATCTCAGCTGTCTCAAGGCAGCATCTCCATACTGTATACCTGAGCCCATTCTTTCTGGATCTAATTCTCCTGAAAAGAAACAAAATGGTCACAGGAGATAGATTACTTGCAAATAATACATACCAATTTAAATGACAGTATCAGAAACAAATATGTAATGGCACTCTGCTCTGGTTATGGAGAGATCTACTGCAATTCTGTTTATTTTTAGGCAACTTCAAAACTATACTATTTTATCCTGTAATTTCAGCTGTGGGTCCTTAATGATAATGACGAAGCAGCTCATTGCTGAGCTAGGCTGCAACATTAAGTGTTTTTCTACTAACTACTTCTTAAAAAGGAAATGCCTAAAACATGTTCTGCAAATACTGCTTCATGTTGAGACACATGCTTTCAGATTCTACTATGTAAGGAAAGAAGCACTGTAAATACACCAAGCCAAACAAAAATGGATCAATCTCAGAGTCCACAAAGCACTGCCCAAGAAGAAATGGCTTCAGCCTTCCCTGCTTCTGTTGTCCACTGCTGTAACTGGTTTACTCCACACCCTGTGCCTTCAGAAATTTCCCTACAGATCCACGGAGAACTGGCCAAAATTAGAAACAACTAGTTAAAATAAAAAATACCCCTGAATAATTCAGATCAGTTCTTCTGAGTTAGGAGATGACAACATGCTGAGCGTGACACCAGCTTGAGGGTAGGGCTACTATTCAGAAAATACCACGGGTAAGCTAGAGGACAGCAGGAATCCTGTGAAATTCAACAACTACACACACAGAGCCTTTTATCTGTGACAGAACAAGGCCAAGCAAAGGTACAGGCTGGGGACCAACTACTTAGGTAGCAACGCTGCAAAAAAAGAACCAGGGATCTTAACAGACAAAGTGACCACGAGATGCAGCATGCACTTGTGACAAAGGGTAAATAATGCACAGGGCTGTTACAGCATGACTGTGGCCGGCAGGCTGATGGAAATGATTATTTTGCTCTACCTGGCACGCTCAAATCCACACAGAATCATCCAGAACATCTAGAACCCTGTGTTCATTTTTGCATTCCCCAGTAACAAAGAACCAGAACTGGAGAGAGTCCAGGAAAAGACTGCTGTGGCAGCTGCAGGCCAAAGCTCACTATGTTCAAAAAGAAGCTAAGGGAGCTGTGTTTGCTTAGCTTGGAAGAGAGAAGGCTAAGAGGGAATCTATATCTATGATTGCATGGTTTTATGGATGTGAAGACTAGAACCAGACTGCACACAGAAATAATAAAAGAAGAGGTAAGAAATACAGCCTGCACAAGGAGAATTTCTGAACACAAGGGAAATGAAAATGTCACTATATACTTCAGTCAGCATTGAAACACATTGTCCAAAGGGGCTGTGGAACCTCCAGTCTCTGAGCATCTCACAGTATGCTTCAATATGCTGTGGGCAACCTGTTTTCACTTTGAAGCTGAATCTAAAACAGTAGGCTGGACCAGAGAGCTCCAGTAGTTCTCTCCAGACTCAATTTTTTCATGATTCAGTGCATGATTGCTGATAGAAGGGACAGGACAAGCAGCTTACAGAAAGCTGGACTTATTTCTGTTATGGTAATGCCTCTTTATATCAGTTATGGGAATACTAACTAGCCAAATGCTGCTTTTTGTTGTTGTTTTTGCTTTTCTTTTTTTATTTTGTTGGGGTTTTCTTATTGTTTGTTTTGTTTAAAATGAAGGAGGCTATTTGACATTGATTTTGATGCAGTAATGAGGAAATTTCTATGAAAATATTGTACTTTTTTTTTTTTTTGGCATTCAAAATGAGTAAGAAAAAATGAGAGAAAAATCAGAATAACAGACTAGCTCTAGTGACACAAACACATCAGAGCCTATTTCTGACAAAAGCTTGCCCACTTGTACTGAGAAGTTTCTGGCATATTTCTAGATCTGCAGAAAGAAAAATGACTTCAGCTAAAGCCAGGAAGGTCACATCAGAGAAACACAGTTGCTAGGAAACATCCCTGGTATTTTGTGTTAAGTGTTCAAATTCTCTTGATCATGTTGCCTGCAGTAAATGAGAAGCAGAATTAAAAGTTATGCCCTTACATCATGTTCTTCTTCTGCTTTGTTAAAGCTGTCTAATGTCAGGCTTCACTGTAGTATGCACATAATCCACAGAACATGCAACCTACACGCTGAGCTCACTATTAAGGTAAATATTGTACATCCACAATGCACCTTTCCCCCTTTTTAGGTACACAGATCTTACCTGAATGTTCATTCCTGTTATAACAAACAGCTATAAAACAAATGGGTTATATTACCACAACTAAATAACTTTAGATGTTGATACTTAAACACATGCTTTAAGCTTCTAGGGAAAAAAAAGGTTAAAGTAATATTAATTTCTGTTTACCTGATTCAATTTTATTGAGTATTTTTCTTGCACACTGTACAAAGGCCTCCTCAACATTTTCCCCCGTCAGTGCGCTTGTTTCCAAAAACATCAGCTCTGCATTGGACACCAGAAAAACAATCTCAAAGCAAGCCTGGAATATCTGATACAGCAAATCAAGCATGAAAATTAATAGAAACTTTTTTTTCTTAGACTTGTTGAGAGCTATCCTCCAATAGCATGGTCCTGAAACAGTTACTTTATGAAAGCAAAACTTCTAGACACACAAAAACTTCCTCTAAAACTTCAGGAATATAAAAATTAAGACTCTAAACACAATTACCTGGGCTGCACGTGCAAAAACAGCACATGAAAACAAAGTACTTCATATAGGCTCCTGTTAACAGAAAGCTATTTGCAAGAGGAAAGCCAGCAACAACAGTAAAATACATGGTAGAAAAGACCCGATAATCAATTTATAAAACTAAAGAGAGACTTTACTGATAGTAGGACTGCAGCACAAAGGTCAGACTGGCTTCAGCTGCTACAGAAACATGCCTCCACAGACTGAAAATTTGGACACTACAGATCAGTTTTCTGGATCCACAACATATATTGAACTTTGTTTGAGTTGGTTGCTTTCAACTGCAGCCAACCCCACTCCATCTTGACTACGATCTGGAAAGTCTGCAAGATGCTAAAAACCAGGAAACCTTACTCTGTATTTTCTCTCCAGCTCCTTCGTTGCAAGGTAACAAGAAAAGTCATCTTACATACTCTAAGGAATACGACACCACATAGAAGATATTCTTTAAGTAGCAGCTCTGAATGGAAGAATCATCAATAGCAGGACAAATAGCACATGCAGTTCTTATTACAGGCACTGTCCTCATGTCTCCCTCAGAAAAGATAACAGATACAGCAGACCAAAGTATTCTCTAGTAGCAAAAAACCAACCAACCAAACAAAAAAACCAGCCAAAAACAGCAAAAAAAAACTGTTTTAAGTACTAAACATCTTTCAGCATTACATGAAGATTTTTTTACTACTTACCATTTTCTTGTGCAAATCGGGATGCTTCTAGAAAGGTTACTTCACGATCTGCATCAAGATCTTTTTTGTTTCCACACAGTATTATCACAATATTTTGACTTGCTAACATTCTTGCATCTGTCAGCCAATTAGTGAGAGCATTGTAGGTTTCACGGCTGTGATGAAAAAACCCCATGTTAGAAAATGCTCATTTCTAGCAAGCAGATCACTGAACTAAAACTTTTGAAGGCAAATCTACATTATTGCCAAGCCACAAGACTGTACTAGTCAGACAAGTCACCTACACACCTCAATTACACCAACAACAAACTGGGGAGAGTACCAAGTTCCTTCACGAAACAAGAAGGGTAAAGTTCTTAAAAAGCAAAATCAAATCAATCACAACCAAACCCAGATAATTTCTTTTCAGCAGCTTCTCTCTCTGAAGTCAAGAAACACTGTATAGTCTGCTGCTAGAGCCTATAAAGGCAGTACCGCTCAGCTCATTTCTCACAGTGCTTATGAATGTTCTGCTCCGCCACTGCCTTAATTCCTTTCATTAGGTAGTCATTCTGATTAATAAATTATCATCTAGACACCAGGACCCATGAGCTGAAACACATGAAATCCCAGCTGCAGCTCCTAAGAACTTTGAAAGCGAGATCTCTTCTGAAGCGTCACTAAGATGTTTTGGAGTGACAACCCCAGACAAAAGGGGAACAGATGATTAAACACATATATAGCTCATGGTGCATTTGGCTACACGTAGCCTTTGAGAAGTAGTAGCTTACTTCTTATTGATGCAAAACGCCCACAGATTGGAATAAAAATAAATAACAAGATACTTTGTTAATGTGAAAGGCTAAAATTTGAAGTGCTAATGTAGTTTCAGCTTTCTGTGCACGGAATTTAGGAATAGTGATGAGTTATTAATATGGAATTCAATAATTAAGTTCCAGATGGTATTATAAGAATTAACTATGCTAATGGAGAAATGCAGGCCTGAAGTATCACATTTGTTTTAAGACCAAAAACATCACAGGCATTTATCCTGCTTACATCAGTAGTCATTATAGTGGTGGGCAAAGCTAAAACCATCAAGAAGACCGACTGACAAATGAGCTCAGCTGACCTCAAGCACAAAACACTGATTTTGAAGAGTGCTCAAGGGAAAACAGTACAACAGTACACTCACAGGAAAAAAAGCAATACATACAGCGAGTCATCATTAACCAACACAAAGCTTATCTGACAAGCATTAGCCTATCAGGGCCAGAAAAAAAAAAAAAAGCAGAAGTGTGCAATGGTAAGGTATTCTACTGGCTGCCTACAACATTAAAACAAACAAAAATCCCACAGCAAACAAACAAGATTAAAATATTTTTGGGCCATAGTTACAGAACACATGGGTAAAGCTAGCTTCTCCAGATGATGACCTGTTACACCAGCACACTAATAAGCAGACGCTTCCACAGACGCGTGCTACCTTACAAGTGGCTATATTACAAGTGGCTTAAGACTGCTCTAAATTTCTGTTGCATACCACCAGTGTCAGGTTATTTGTTCTCAAGGACATGAAACTGAGAAGCACAGACCAGTTCAGAGGTTTGTTTATCTCTTTGGAAAACCATGAATGCAAAATATAGATCAAAAACACAGTAACAAGACACACAGTGATCTTTTCTCAGTTTATTCAGTTCCTAACAGCTGTTGTTAACAGACTTCCTGAGCCACTGGCTGCACATAGTCTAGCATGATAACATCTACTGGTGGGCCAATTCCTACATAATTGTCTAACCCCCTGAGCCTTTGTACATTTATGGCTTTCATAATCATAGAATCACAGAATGGCCTGGGTTGAAAAGGACCACAATGGTCATCCAGCTTCAACCCCCTTACCTGTGCAGGGTCACAAACCACCAGACCAGGCTGCCCAGAGCCACATCCAGCCTGGCCTTGAATGCCTCCAGAGATGGGGCACCCACAGCCTCCTTGAACAACCTGTTCCAGTGCGTCACCACCCTCTGGGTGAAAAACTTCCTCCTAGTATCTAACCCAAACCTCCTGTCTCAGTTTAAAATAATATGTCATGTAAGCAAGTTCCAAGGCTTAGATATGCACTAAAATAGCAATACATTTTGTATTTCTTTTCTTTTTGTCTATTCTCTGTCAGAAGATTAGATACATGGGAGAGATTCTAGTTATTCATTAATTGTTTCTGACAGCCAATAAACCAAAGAGGAGCTAGTTTTCTTACCTGGTTATATCATAGACAAGTAAAGCACCTGCAGCACCTCTATAGTAACTTCTTGTTACAGACCTGAAATATAATTGACAGAATAGATATACATTTTTGTTGTGTACTTTGTTTAAAGTCTAGGTTTCATGTATCTACTGTATTATGTAAACAATTATCTTTTTTTTTAATAAAAATAAAAAAGTGATTTTAATCATAATGCAGCAGCAAAAACTTATAACTAGGCTTTCGATGACAAGATGACAAGTTTTCAAGGAATGCAGTCATACAGTGATTTCTGAAAGTCTATTCTGATCCATGTCCTGCTGAAGATACATTTGAAATACGGCCTGACACAGAACTGGGAGCTGCTGGTGGTAACTGCTCAGCTTTCATGCCACAGTTATGTTTCATCTTTCAGCAGTAAAGGGAGAATGAAGTAAATGCCATTGAACAACTTAAGACTCCTTAAAAAGGAAGCAAAGAACACAAAGCATTCTTCAAAAGGTAGAGTATGAATTAAAAACAGACTGCTAAGTATGCTAAGTTAGTCTTAAAAAGAAATAGTTCACATAGATTATAAAAAGTACCCAAAGAAAATAACCTGCACATCCATAAATGCATTCAACTTAAAGGAACATCATTTTTATGAGCCTCTAGAACAAGCTCCTCACAATCTCATGGTATCTAGCCAACAGACTGGAGACATCTTACTGCATATCACTGCCTGGCTTTGCCTGTTAGAGGACGAGTATTTGGACTGCAGTCCATTCCCCAGACTTTCACCACTGCGCTCACCTTTGTTAACCATTGGTAGCTCTCTATACTCTGCAAACAAGCAAAACAGGGCCCCCCCCCCCCCACCCAATAAAAAAGCCTTTGAGAGATAATATTTGATAGCAAATATACTCAAACACATACCTGCTTTGCCAAATTTGATATACGCCTGCTTTTAAGCAGGAATAGATAATACCCAACATCCAAAGTAATGATTTAACAAGAAACAACATTTAATAAAACGGCTGAAAAGGGTACCTGAATCTCTCTTGTCCTGCTGTATCCCATATCTGCAATTTCACGTATTTACCACCAACATTTATGATCTTTGAACCAAATTCCACTCCTATGGTATGATTTGAATCATCTTTAACTAAAAAAAAAAAAAAAAGACAAAAAAAAAAAAAAGAAAAAACAGATTTATTATTTGGAGAACATTTGGGGTGAATAAGTAGTTTTCATTAAATCCAACGTAGGTGCAATTAAAATTTTCTGGTGTTCAAATGACAAACTACTACCTGAACAAACAAAATCAGTGCAGCTATTGCCATCATGCAGAAAAAAGATTTCTTACAAGTTTTGAACACCCCAATGAATTAAAAATTATTACTAGAATGGCCTGCCTTAATCATATTATTATGGCTGCCACTAATGATGGAAAAACAACATTTTCTTCAATTTTGTTTTCTAATACTGCATGGCAATTTAAAAAAAGAAGGAAAAGCAGAGCACAAAATGCCAGTCTTTTCCATGAATATGCAAAATATGTTTGTTTTTTAATGTTAAGACACTACTGTACATATTCTCAGCAGTAAGTTTCTTGATTATACATCATAATATCAGAGCTGTTTCTCAAGAGAATTACAGTTTGGCTGAGGACGATAACCCTTTAGGGAACCCTTGCTGCGCTCACGTATACTTACATTTCTTTTCAATAAATTGGTGTAGTAAACAGGATTTTCCAGTCCCAGCATTTCCTATGACCAAGAACTTAAACAGGAAATCTGAAGATTAAAAAAAAAAAAAAAAAAATTGCTAACTTTTACAGATGTTAGAAAGTGAGAGCAAAGAGTGTTACTTGTTTATGGAGATACAAGAATGACAACCGGAGATGAAAATGATGGAATCAGAAGGCATCTGGCTGACTTTTCTACCAGCAACCTACTTTACGGGTAAATAAACTATTAGCTACAGTCAGTACAATTGCCCTCTATAACAACATCAGCTCCAACAAAACCCAACAGACCTTTTAATACTTGTATAATCTGCAAAAAAGTGGAATGTGTTCTCTACAAATTTACCAGTGAGGCTTTTTTATTCTGGAATCTCTGCCTTTGTGTTTCTTCCGTATGGCAAATTAAGGAAGTTATTTCTGGCACTTCACCTACTTAGGTGCCATTGACATCAGCGTTCATTTAGTAATGGCGATACTCAAAATCTCTTCTGTCTTGTTACAGACACCGCTTTGATACTACCTTTCCAGTTTTGCTAACCATCGAAGAAAGCTTCCTCGTCTTATCATTCTCAAAGATTTGCACTGATAAACTATGATAACAATGCTTACGATTACTTTCCCAACTATTTATTTTTCTACCAACAGCATCCTTTTTACAGTCATCTTTACAACTTTATTGCATCATTTCTATTATAAACACAGTAGGTCTCCAGAAGACAACAGATAAGCATGCAATGCAAAGGATTAAGCTTGCAATACAAACAAAAATAAAAACCTAGCATTAATTTCATTAACACTGTTCAAAGCTGTCAAATGCGTTACAGTAAATACCAGTTCATGGGATGGCAGAATAAAAACAGGAATACACTCAGTCAAAGCACTGATTCATTATTTCATGAGAATTTTGTTTGAACCTCTGGCTTTGTAAGTTGAATTTAACATGCACAAAGAAATCTGCCCAATTACTTTCCTTCATGAAGGAATTAGAGCATCACAGAATCTCAGAATGTCAGGGATAGGAAGGGACTTCAAAAGATCATCTAGTCCAATCACCCTGCTGTAGCAGGAACACCAAATAGAATGGTTTGGGTTGGAAGAGACATTTAAGATCACACAGTCCACAACCCCCTGCTGCAGGCAAGGACACCTCGCTCTAGACCAGGTTGCTCAAGATTCTATGATTCTATGAAAACTTAACTAAATAAGAGTATCTTATATTCTTATTCATGGTAAGCAGTTTCCCACTGTTGAAAATTCAATAGCAAAAGTGAGGGCTATGAATCCAGGAATGTCCAACATCCTCTGTTTTCAGCTGTCCTTCAGGTGTTATCTTTAAAATGAAGTATTATTTTTACATATCATCTTTACATGATTTTTTGTTTCAAACATTGTAACAGACTTTGGAATGGACTCTATTCTGAAAGAAGAGATTGCCTTTTCTCACTTACAAATAGAATCATTTACAGTCTCTAGACATTCTGTTCCAAAGTCCTATCGTTCTTCCTGCCCCCACTCAGCCATTTGTGCTTTCTAGACCAAGAAAAGAGATTTTGGTCCAGGTTTTGAAATACTGCCTATTATCTCCTGTACAGAAGGACCCTTTACATCATTTCAATTGCAAAACACACTGAGGCTCAGAATATATCATCCTTCAGACTACCAAATCTCCACTGTTAGCATGAAATGCATGTAAGTCATAAATAACCCTTAAGCATTTGGTTAAGAAAAAAAATCCTCTGTGAAAGTTTCTCTTTTATGGACCAAATAGTGAGCTACTTTGTGCACCTTCCCATATATTTAACCAATGTGGGTGTGTGTAATCTCACTGGTTTTATCACTTCCAAAGAGTTCCTCAAAAAGCAAAATGTTCTGAGACATCTGCAAGTAGAATACTGTTGTCTCTGCAGCTTTTCCAAAAATAAATTTGAAACCCAGTTAAAACTGGTTCTCCTACATGTTTGGTAAATGCTGCTTGCCAGAATTTCCTGTCAAGAACAAGTGAAAAAAAGTAAACCAAATATACCTTTTTTTTCCCCCCCCTCCCATGGACTAATACAATTTATCAGCTACCATCAAACTACAACAGGAGACACATCATATCAACACTCTATTCCTACTCTAATTTCTCTGTCATTTCAGGCCCTGGTTGTTAAATGTGGTTGAATAAAGGCATATTTTACAATCCATGTCGAGCAGCACATTTAACAAGATGCTCCATTCTGTGCGGCCAGGCTGCCAGCCAGCAAGAAATTCTGAGACAACGGTGTCACTGTCAGGGACTGATAGGGAACAGACTGAGAACAGCAGTGTATTTTTCCTGAGGTGCTTTGATTTGAGGCGCTTCATATCTTGCTCTGAGGGCAAGAGTAATATTGGAGACCTCATATTAATTCCTTTACATTGATATCATAACAGCATTTTACAGGTAGACTCCTAACTCATTAAGATTCTATTGCACCAGGCAACTTTAAGTGGGAATCTCTTCTATGATAAATATTTGGATAGATGATTATTCATTATCTGCTTACCTGGTAGACAAAAAATGCTTCCATCTGCCAAAAAAAACAAACAAGTGTTCTAAGGTGAAACTTGAAACTGCAGTTTCATACAGTAACCACGTGAATTGTAAGGAAGTCTGTTTTAATCACTCATAGAATGGAAACAGCCAAAGCTTCTATAAAAATGAAAATCTTTTTGCGCTGGGGAAAGCAGCAACCTTTCAGAGCATGCAAACTTGTGGAGGAAGGAAATTAACACTCTGCAGTCACGTTCACAGCGTACTTCTATCACTTGAAATGACTTTACATAAATTGCTTGAAAGAGCACAAGGCTCTCAGTTCAGCTTACGTTAATAGTTGATCCAGAAGCATCAGACAACGTGTTTCAGGAAACGTGGAATACCGTGTACATTTAATCACCACGAAACAAGGACAGGAAAAGGCATGTGCCAATACCAAAAGTCACAAATACCCATATTGATTGAGTTGACGTGCTGGGCTATGAATCTAGAAATGCTCTCAATGAAGAAATATAGCAGATAAGAAGAGAGAGAATAGTTTTTCAGTTTACTATTCCAGAATGTATTTCTTATGGTGTCATTTTGCAAGGTAACCACAAGCATTATTGGTAGTGTTTTTTATAATGTCCTCATTGTTTGATTCAGAAGAAATATCTTCTCTTTCAACTGTAAGGGCACCTAAAAAAATTTAGCACGGCTCTGAAACGGAATGAGACAGACTGAAAGAACTCCTCTCCCAGAGGAGTTAACTCATTTCATAGCTTTGTGGTTTGTTTTTTTTTTTTCTCCCCCTCCAATTGACAAAGAAGCTCTGAGCTCTAACATTCCAGTTAGCCACTAAGGCTGTCACCCTAGCGAAGTTTTTCTTATGAACTCCGTTGTTCCTCCTTCGCTGAGAAGCTGAAAAGGAACATCATTGCAATGTTAAAAATGCTTGCTATCATTCTGGCTACTATGAAGATCTGGATAAATTAAAGTACTTTGCCTGTAAATAATGTCTTTATATAGAGAAAGGATTTAAAATGAAAATTAAACATCACGCCAAAAAGAAAAAGGGCGGCAAGACATGCACTAGAAAAAGCATAAAGAGATTAAAGATAGCATATCTTGGCTGTTTAGGAAAATAAGACGTCATAAAGAATCAACTTACTGCCTTCAGTAAGCTACATGCATCACCTGGTCCCACACTGGGTAGGGGTTACATGGAGCAAGGCAATGGGACAGATCCCTGTTCCCCAGCACAGGTGAAAAGCAATCAGTAACACTGCGGCTCCACCCCAAAGAAGCACCAGCAGCTGAACTGCTGTGTGCAGGGGAAGGAAAGGGCTGAGGGGGGAGGAGAAGGGAGACAATCGTGGGCTTTGACTCAACTACCATGGCAGATCAAAACCAGATGGTTGGTGTGGAAACCACCCCAGGATGTCCAACCTCCTCCTTTGACTGAAATTGATTCCAGCAGAGGGAAAAAAGTTGAACAAACCACTGCAGCTCAGTCTTTAAAATGTAGCATGAATTGTTTCCTGTATTCTTCTTAATACAGAAGGGGTGGGGTGGGGGGAATCGACAAAATTATATCCTCTTTCATAGATCAGTCTTCTACCAAATCCTTGATAAAGGGTAGAACATACATTCATTAGTTTCCAAAGGATGAGCAGTATTTCATTCATGTCACTAAAAACAAAAACAACTTTCCTGGTCAGGTATCTTTTATATTGTAGAAGCCTGCATAAGGGAGGAGTGCTCTGAAGCAATCCTACTGACAGTACGCTGCCTCTAAATGAGAGAAAAGAAGAGCTATCTCTCTTTACTCCTTTCTCTAGCAATAGCAATTAAGATAAACAGGTAGAACAGATAAACTTGGCTCAACTTGGCTCTTTATCTGAATAAAGACTGCTTAAAAGGAGGAAGCTCTGCTTCCTGATGAACAAAACAGCCATGCCCTCTAGGCAATAAAACAAACTATGAAATAAACTGAAGACCAAGGTGATAAATGAAAATACATTTGCTAAGTATATATGGGGAGCAGGAAAGGCAGGACTGGGAGAAAAGCATGAATCAAATTACCTAGACAATAAAGAAATACATTTCAGTGGACAGGCAGCTTACGCATTCCAACAACAAATTCCAACAAGACTCACGATCAGACTGGCAGTAGCAGATATTCAAGGAAAAAAGAGAGGAAGTAGGAACTGAAGAGATTGAGTGAAATGTACTATCTTCCCAAAGATAATGCAGTCTTCTAGCCTTACACCATTTAAAACTAAAAGGTGGTTTTGCATTTATCAGTTAAGGACAAGCCATTTTAAAAATCAATGTATATTTATCATAATGTGAAAATGGATGCATTTTGCACTGGGAAGCAGGACAAACTCTGCACACGTCCTGTAGCAACTATCCATATACGCCACAGACACTGTATCACAGGAAACATGAGTTACTCACTGGAAGATTAAGAGATTTGTTTCCACTGTTACAAGCTGCATGTTTTAGATTATTATTATTATTTTTTAAGATTGTATTGGATCATTCTATTGTAGTTGTACTACAGTAGAAATCCCAGCTTGTTCCAGTTTATATCTCAACTGAGTACTGTCAGACTTAAGTTACCACTCCAAACCTAGTTGAAAATACAGAGAGAATGGAAAACTACACACTGAAGGACAACATCCCAAACACCATTTCTATTAATTATTCAGTCTATCATAATATTGCTTCCCAGAGCAAACTGAGTCATCTCTCCCATGCTAACAACACAACAGAGAAGAGAGAGTACTATTTTGGTGAAACATTTGCAGTGAATAATTGGATGTTTGTATGGTGAAACTTGGACTTAGAAGTAAAGACTTATTTTTTTTCCAGTGAAATCAAGTAAATTTATAACAGTTGTGTGATGCAGCCACTACAATTTGAATAAACACTGCGTTTCCTATCAGTCCATTTCACTATCTGCTGTAGAAACTGGCACTCAAGTTCCACAGGTCTCCAGCCCTTGATGCTCCACCAGTAGCAAAAAGTTGCAGATAAAATTAAATTCACACTCATATCTCATCCAGTTACAACTTCTCATTCCCTATTTCTACAAGTATTACAATCGGTGGGCAGCGGGTTCAAGGCTTGAAAGCGTGGCAGTGTTTCCATCCACCTCCCACCTTGCTCAAGAACAAGATCAATGCTCAGAGATCATTCATACACATGAAGATATTCCAAGGAGCCTGGAAAACATCAAGCCCAAAGCCTCAGAAAAATATTAATCAAATACACAATGAAATTCAACTCATTAAGAAAACTTTTTTTTTTTTTTTTTTCTTAAATGCAACTGGCAATGGTAAGAGAAAGGAGAAGCACCCTTAATTGTGGGATTATAACTTCTACTGCAGATAATTTACAATTGCTATTAAACAAGAAGCCCTGTAAGGATTTTCCAAAAAGAATGGAATTGAGCAAAGTACAGTTTTCAAATCCTGAGAGTAAAGCAAAATGATTGGTTATGGTAAAGCAGTTTCATTAAGCAGAAAAATATTTCTTAGAAAAAAAAAAGAAAGAACCTCCATCCCTAGCATTAGGAATTCCCAAGTAATTCTAAGAAAGCTCAAAGGCTTGCCAAATATTTCTAATACCCAAATGTATCCCGAAAAGGAAGAGTTTGCCTAAGTAAGTTTCTTCTAAATAGCTTTTGGAAAAATACAGTCCACAGTCTGAAAAATACAGAGCCAAAATATTATCTAAGAATCTAAGTAAAAGTGCTATGTGTAGTTACTCTGCCGTTAACAAGAAAAAAAAAGAAATACAGCATTTACATGTAGCTAGCACTGACAGCTAGCAAACAGACTGCAATGTCTCATAATTTCAAACAGACAATTAATGCACAGTCCTCAAAATCACAGCAACTCAATCAAAACCGTTAAAAGTGATACCAACCCCTAGATGAACTATGGAATATAACATTAAAAAGACTAAAAACTTTTAATGGCAATAATGGAGGCAATTTAACTTGTGTTGTTTTATGCAAATGCATTTCATCTTTCCATCAATAAGGTCTATGCAACCATGAGTGAAATCACAAAGAGGGGAGATGGAGATAAATACCACACTGTTCCAGCAGAAGAGCTAAGGTCATCAAGTAAAACTGGCCATCAAGTAGAACTCAAAAAACGAGGAGAAGGCCTTTCACAGAACAGATCATTTACATAGGGAGCTCCCTGTCAAAAGGTGCCACGAACACAAATTTGCATTCGAGAAAAGATTGGGTGAGTTCATTGAAGAAAATGCTGCTGAGGGTTTATCAAGAGAAACTATTGTTGGCTCTGGGAACTATTAATATTAAAATAGTTGGAGGTCGAGGAATCTTACATCCCATATGCTTGCCCTGCTCTCATCCTCTTTCCAGGGCACCAACAGGACACTGCAAAGTTAGATACTGGTTACTCCTGTGGTCAGAGATAACATAACCATTGTTAACATCTATGTCATGCCATAACATGATTCATATTTTTCCATCTACTTTAAATCTTGATTTCCTAATAGCTTAACCGTGTACAAAAAGAATGAACATTGGAACTAGGAAGAAAAATACACCAAACAGAAAATGAATAAAAGGAATAACTCACAACAACTGCAGAACTTCAGTGTTAAGGCCATAGTTTCTAGAACACCGAACCAATTAGAAAGCATCAACAGTTAGAGTGGGCTTACAATTACTATTCTGCATCACTGAACCAATGCAAAAAATGTCTGAAGTGTACTTGTTTTAAAATGCAATCATCTATACGATGCTGCTGCAATAGCAAGCAGGCTAAAGAGTACAGCTAGAACACTTTCCACCTTCTCTGGTTGCTGATCCATCTGATTGCTTGGAAAACCACCAATTCCAACGCAAGCATAGCAGCAACGATGCCAGCTCTTGATCACGTGAAGTCAGACTACGAGAAGTTGGTCCAAACTCTTATCTAGATCTACAAGGCACGCCTCTAGTCCAGCTTCTGCCTACATGTTTCAAGCACGGAAAACAGAAGCAGGATCTCAATGCTTACACTTCAAGGGCTGCCTCATGTTCTTGCCTCATTTTGCCCAACAGTTCCTTGTGCTTACTGTACACCAAAGCATTGACCACTGTGAAAAAACAGCCACTGGTGGAAACTGAAAGCAAACAGGCTTGCGCAGCAGAAGCCAACAGTTTCCATACCGATAAGAACTCCTGCTGGCAACACAGGCTGTCTCATAGACAGCAGAGGTATTGCACCTCACTGTACTGCACCTATGGAAGCTATTTATTTCCAGGACCGCGCTCTCCCAACAGTGAGACACAGGTCGAAGTCAGAACTGCTGCTGAGGACGGAGGAGACGAAGGAACACACCCAGCACACCGCGTTCGAGGCTGTTCTCACCCACCCTAGTGCCCCGGCACAGAGGCTCTGCAGCCTCTACGCGTGAGAGCACTGCCGTTCTGCAAGATGTCACCGGCCGCGCTACGCAAAGGGGCGGAAAGCCGAGACGATCCAAGCGCGCTCAGCCGGCTGGAGCAAAGTTAGGGCAAAGAGGCACGCAGGCTACCGCTGCGGGCCAACGCCAGCCCTGCCCACCTACAGAGCCCTCGCTTTACCCCCAACCTCCTCCTCGGGGCCGCCGTTCCCCCGACAGGGGGCCGTGCTCCCTCCCTGCGCGGGGCCGCACCCGCTGCCCCCCGCTTCCCGTCACGGTCCGTTCGCACGGCCCCACCCCCAGCTCCTACCGTAGGTCTCGGACATGGCAGCCTGCGACATTTCGCGAGTAGCAAACCTCCCTCGCTCGCTCCGCTCCCACACCGTACCCGAGAAGCGAGCCGCCGGGCGGAGACTCGCAACCCCGCAGCACCGAACGCACGCCCCTCACCGCCGCCCCACCTCACCTCGCCCCGCCCCGCCCCTGGCCCCGGCCGCTACGGCCGCCGCTGCGCATGCGCGCCCCGCTCCCACACCCTCGGCACGGCGCAGGCGCGCGCAGCTCGTTGTGTTCCGCCGAGAGGGGGCGCGCCTCTGCGGTGCGTCTTGTAGAGCTGCTGCCCGGGGAGCGTGTTCTCGTCGAGGCAGTGCGGGCTGGTGGAGAGGGCAATTCCCTTCCTCTCAAGTGTCTCGCAGCTCTCCTTGATCAAGGCGATGAGACCCCAAGCCGCGTTCCCTTGTGCCCCTCCATCCGCAGCCTTCCCTCCCATCCCCTTAAATCTTGTCCTTGGTATTCTAACTTCCCAGTCCTGCTGCCTCTCTGTTGCCTCCTGGGCTGTAGAGAAACAGTTCTGAGCCTTGAAGCTTGACCTAGCAGTACGGAATTCCTGGCAGTTGGTTACACACACAACATGTATTCAAAGATAAGTGGCAACAGCAACAGAAAAAAAAGACAAAACCAAACCGAGGCTTGGTTAACACAGAAGTAGACAGATTTTGTCTGATTCCTGAAACATATTGTGCTGTATCAGTAAGAGGACACGCAGATCTAGCCATCTTGCACTGTACATACAGTACTCTAGGCTAAATGACAAATTAGTCTCGTGATATCAAAACAAGCTTACCTATATGGAGGTTATATTTGATAAATATCACTCTCCTCTGCCTCCAGTCACTCCCAATTAGCTAACATGCACATACTGATAAAATACATCAGAAGTATGTAGCCTTCTGTAAGTATCCTGTTAGTAATATTGAAGAAAAAGATGGGTGTTGGAAGAATGGAAAAGGAAAGGTAGAGCTGCTAATGGAGTCACCGTTGCTGGAGTTGTCCAAGAAATGTGTAGATGTGGCACTGAGGGACATGGTTAGTGGGCATGGTGGGGATGGGTTGGTGGTTTGACTAAATAATCTTAGTGGCCTCTTCCAACCTTAACGATTCTATGACTGTGAAAAGTATTGGGTCTAACAGCATTTCTACTTTGAAGATGAAATTGAGAACAAAGTAAAATTCACAAATAATGAGTGCTTGCAGTAGGTTGGAGAATATATTGCTGGTATTTGAGGGATTTGATAATACAGGCTGCTGTATGTTAATAAAAATATTACTTCTGACTAACCGAAAAATAAATAGCTACAACTGACCTCACCGGTGTCCATCTGTAGTCTGAGAACAAAGAAAGCTGAAAGCCAAACATTTCATTTGTCTTCTGGCTCATGTAAAGACAGAGACATCATGTCTAATTGTGTCTGCAGATCAGACATTTAAACACTATCGTTTGTTTCCCAAATTAGTTTCACCACAGTTATTGTTCCTGTAATTGGCTGTGGTAGTAAAATTGCTGCCCAAAAGGCCATGTTGATGTTTCTTTAAAAATGATAATCTGATTTTTTAGAGTTTTTTACTAACCAGAGTACCAGAACATCAGTGTTCGATACCCTAGAAGTAGAAGAGGACTGCAAGATCTCCTCAGATGCAGACTCAGGACGGAGGATTCTTCAAAAGCTTTTTCCTCCAAAGGAAACAACCTGACCTCTGGGACTCGGCAGATATGGAATTGGCTTTTAATGCCTTTCCCTATTGCAGGGAAACAAAATTCAGCCTGAAACGGAGCCATATTTTGGATTCACCTTCACAGAGTGCTCAGTCATCCACCGTTCATCCTGTGAAGTGGGCCTGCAGGACCCTTTTGCCATGACTCCAAAGATATGCTTATATGTGGCACTTAAGGACATGGTTTAGTGAGCATGGTGGAGACAGATTAACAGTAGGACCGGATAATCTTAGATGTCTTTTCTTAATGGTTACAGGATTCTGTTAGATGTGGGAGCGATAGGACATGTCTTGGTTTAGTCTGAAGGTGGCACTACAAGGCCATTTGTGAAAGGCACTGCAGTAACGCTATGTATGTGTAACTTCATGTATGTTCGCTTGATCAGTTACGGTTGCATGGCATGCAGTCCCACCTGAGAGGTTAGTTAAAATCAGGAATCAAGTGTTCTCCTTGCTTTCGTGCCATTTATGTGACAGATATGGAAAGCAACCCAGTGTATGTAGAAGCTGCAGGCTTCAAATAGATTTGAAGTGGTCATGAATTTGGCTCCGACAAACCAAGTGAAATATGGAGACAGGTGATGGGTTCTGAGACACCTCAGAGATTTACATGTACTCGGTGTTACTGGCCAGCTGACTTCATCTGAAAACAACTGACATCATCTGAATACTGTCATCTTCAACTTCCACTGAAGCTGCCCTCAACCTATGAATGTGGTTGTCAATTAATGTAATTACAGTTATTCATGGAAATTTATGGGCTAAATGTTTCTAAAGTCTTGGGCTAGTTCCTCAGATGTTAGCCTGGAGTAGATGGAGGTGGTGAAGAAGGTGATGCTTCAGGTACTGTGACTGAGCTCCTTTTTTGCAATAAACTTTCCCAAATATGATTCCCGCAAGCTATACCGCTGAATTGACAACTGGTAAAAGCCAGAGTCCAGCATGCTGTCTGCTAGTGACCTTCTATTCCTCTTCAACATGCTGTCTTCACCAGTGGTAGGGAGAAGGCAGCCACACTGCAGTTTAGGGAAACTCAGGATTCCTGAACAATTGCCAGGAGCTGGGATAAGCTCATTTTCAGATAAATCCATAGTATAATGCAGAAGTACAAATTTACTCTAATGTGGGATAGGGTACTGTTCCTTTTTATCTTGCAGAAGCTTATATAACATTTTTAAAGCTTTTGTTAAGAGAAACATGTTAATGGATTTTAAAGTAGATCAATATACAGGCCACGGATTTTGAAAACACTGATTTAATTTTTCAAGATCTATGTAAACAGACTGATGAGGCCTAAATATTTATTTCAGGAGAAAATGAAGAGAACAGTAGTCTGGGTCTTTATAGAATTATATTATAGAATTATTACACATTAATGTTGTCTGAAACACAGTTTGTATGAAACTCGCTGTATTTTATGAAGTTAGCCTCATGGTGTCACTGATTAACTGCTCTGCTGGTGAAATACAGTGGCAATGGCATGTAGTAGGCTGCATTTGTTCACTTTTACTGTCATTATACTTGAAATAGATGGTTTATTAACACGTTATTGTGAAAGACATGAGGCCACACAGGTATTCCTCATCGTGAGCCCAAAGTGGTTCTCTGCTGTGGAGAACTCGCATGCAGTAGAAACACTGCTCATTTGGGTCCCGCTTCTCGAGTGAATATCCTCAAACATGCAAAATACCAGTCTTGATTCAGTTCTACCACTCCAGATGCTTGAATGCATCATGCCACTGAGGCACAATTTGCACATGGATATCATCTGTCATCTGCATGGTTCACTTGGATGGCTCATCAGGTCTAGGTCAGTGTGAGCTGCACATTTGAGAAAGAATTTGCCGTCATGCCCCATGTTTCAGACAACCAAGCAGTGGAGGCATGACCTCATGCTCCCAAGGCCCTGGTTCCCATACTGCTGAATCAAGGACCTGTCCAAAATGTACCACGATCCCTATGCCTGCTGCAGCTGTGCCGCTGATCCACAGTCCATGGAGGTGCTCCTATGTCCCCCCTTCATATGTAGTGTAAGCACACACCAGTTATCTGGGCACCATCCATATCAGTGCAGAATTAGAGGCACTATAGAGAATGCCTCAGCAAAGGTATCTTGACAAGCCATCTGTGGGCTTAGATCTCCTCTCCATTGGTTCTGCCCTGGGGGAGCCCAGGGGGAGCGCGATTCATGCTTGGAAAAACTAAGTTTTGAGTAACTAAAGGCACATTTTATTGTGCTAAACTTCCTCCCTGAGCTGTTACATACCTTTAAACATGCAGTCTGCAGTGACTACCTTGTCTCTGAAAATAGCTTTCTTTCAATAATCCAAAAAATCTGTGAAGCTCCTGATTTATGTTACTTCTGTTGTGTACACAGATGTGGCTGAGGGGACACAAGCTGGTAGCACTGAGCTGTGCTCAATGAAAAATTTCCCTGACTGCCAAGAGTCTTCTGGTCATCAGGTGCTGCAGTTTTCATCTGCATTGTTGCTGCAATCAGTTGTAATTGCATTCAACTTTTTCCTAATATTGCTGTCCCTCTGAATGTGGTGGTATCATGTAGTCACAAGGCTGGATAAGTGAAGGGGCCAAAGAAGGATACTCTGCATATCTGCTGTAGCAGTAAAAACATCACAGCAGTTAGAGGAGAGCTGTGCATGAGGCAATGTCTTTAGAGCTAACATCTTGCTATGATTTTGCATGAGCCTGTAGATGTGATCTGTGCCAAGATGTTTTAAGAAGTCTGCAGTGCAGTGTTAAGTCTTCAGCCACTAATGATGTGCTACATTTTCCTGAAGCCACAGAATATTTATGTCTTAAAAGCCTTAAGACTAGCATTTTTCAACTTGCGAAACATTTCGTGACAGAAAATCTCTTGTAACTTATTACCTCTTATGAATAGTTGTTTTTTTTTTCAAACCCTCAAAAAATCCAGAACATCTGAGGTCTAAGATAGGTTTTTGTAGATGATTTTTTTATTTTTTTTATTTTTTAATTTTTTTTACTTTAACATGCATTCATCTTGCAGTTTTCTGAGACAGAGGTGTCTGAGCTGCCTTACATGGATGCTCTACAAAGAAGGCTGGATGTCCTCTGTAGTTCATGGGCAGATCCAGCCAGCTGGTAAGCTGCTTGCAAGGACCTATCCTGATGATACATGGATTTAAGCTCATATGCCTTTTGCTAAGCAATGAAACTGTGTGTGCAGATTTTTGAAAACAAATATGAAGAAAAAAATATCTACAGTAATAAACGTAAGAATCAAGTCAATCATGTATTTTTATTTTTACCTACAAACACAAATACAAACGTAGTCTTTTCACCTGACAGGCAATTGTTGAAGAGTGTCTGAAGGAAAAATCTGAGTCTAAATATAACAATATCTATGCAGCAAGTGAATGA